CTTTTAAATATCTGATTATAAAAATTTAATGGGCAAAGCGTCATTAAAATTTTGATACAATTGTTTGAATTTCAAGTTTGTTGATTTTACTTTTCAAGAAAAATATTATTGAATATGTTTATTTGAATTATATTTTTAGGAGTTGTCTAATTAAAAACACAAAATCTATAAATAAAATAGGAAAATTGGCAAAAAAATTAAAGTTACATATTTATTGTTATAATCCAATTATAAATTTACAATACTGATATCAAAACACATTTAATTAATAAAATATTATAGAAACATACAGCCATTGAGTAGAGATTAAAAGTATTAAAACATTAGAAAAATTTGATATGGATATAATAGACATTAAAAATGTGCTAGCGGGAAAATTCGCCCAAAAAAATTTAATATATGAGCCGCATTATAAAAATTTAACGGGCCAAATCAATAAAAAAATTTTTGAGCCTGGATGGGCCGGACAAACATTTAAATAATTTGCCGGGCAACTTGCAAAAAATCTTAACGGGCTGAACTTTACAGATATTTGATATAGTGTAGATATTAATATTGCATATTCTTTTTTACAGCTTGTATCAGATAGAACATTTTAACCGTTTTACCCATCGCTGCTTAATCCCAGGGGTTTATTAAATAAATAATTAATTCATAACTTTTCCAGTAAATCTTTGATAACTTTTATTATAGATAACATATTTTTATAGAAATATTTTCAAAGATTTTAAAATTTCTCATGTGAAGAAAAAGTTTTTCATCATCATTAAATTTCTAGTAGTGTTGTTAATTTGCTTGGTCATATAAATTATGAACCAATTCGGTGCTCAGACCTGTTCTGAGCACCAACCCCGATAACAGACCCCATTTATTTTAAGTTGTTCATTCTTGACTTTAGGAAAGTTTAAATGTTCAATATAGGTATCAAACGATAGTCAATCAAAAGATTTATTCAATAGGTGGTCAAGCGCTTCTTCTCGAAGGGCAAATCTATTAAAAATGACTGGAATACTTTTATCAGCGCAAGATATTCTTATGATATGGATATAAAATAAAAGCTCTTTGAGAATTAATATTATTCACTCTTTGTGTGGTGAGTGAGTGAGAAGAGTGAGATTGGGGGAGGGAGGGTAAAAATTCTATGGTTATCAAGTAAATGTCAATGAAAAAATATTTTGACAGAAAAACTAATCATCACCTAATGGGCGGATCTAGGTCTTAGGACGTCAGGAATAATCGGAATTTTTTATATCATATAAATTCTCAATAATCGTAAATGTTAATGGACGGGCTTTGGAAGAGTTAGTAAGGTTTTCAACTTCTTACAGATAAAATATTTTGTATCTTCTCCCCAAATTTTCTACAATCTCGTATCTTAATAAAACGACCTCACTAGATGAAAATTATTTGAGGTCTGCAATTGGAAGGTTTTAGCCAAAAAACTCGCGCACCCGTTGTTTTAAATTTTTTTTGACCTGCCTGCCCAATGTTGAAAATTATTTTAATGACTGGTTTGACTTTATTCGTTTATTTTAATGTATTTTTAATTAAAAATATATAATATGCAATATTATGTTATAAAACTATTATTTTTAATAAATTGAAGTCTGTTCTGCTCATTTCGCCTGAAAAATATAAAAATCACACGCCCACGTTTCACTCAATGTTGAAAATATTTTAGAAAATCCAACCACGCCTGCCAGAAGTATGGGCATCTCTAATATAAATAACATATTAGGAAGAAATAATTCTTCCTCAAAGCAAAACAATAATTAAAAGAAAAGCTTAAATAAAGCTTAAAAAAAAATTTCTGATCAATATTTTTTGAATAAGAAGCATCTTTTGCTAAATGAACATATGGTAGATAGTATATAGAAATATATCTTATGACCAAATTTGAGATAATTAGTTCCAAAGATAAAAATTCATTGCTGTTTTCCTTTTTACCTACATGCCGAATAGCCCCGGTCTTCCCTAATGTAACCCACTTTACTGGTAACGTATTTAATAATAGAGTAAAAAAATGTTTATGGACAAATCAATCAAAATATTGAAAAAGAAATTATATAAATTGGAAATCTTAATTTTGTTATTATACTAAATACTTTTGAAAATACTGGTATATTCGAATAGAATACTGGAGAAATAAATAACTATTACTTTTTATTTAATCTAGGAATGTTTATATATATTAGACTATAATAATTTTTATATTATTTGTTTGAATTGAATTAACTTCGACTCTTCGCTTAACTTGATACCTCTCAAACCTATCATTAAAAAAGAGAACGACTTTTTGTCGTTAATAACTGTAAAATAGTTAATTTGTTATATAAATTAGCATTGCAGAATCTTCCTCATGTGTATGATTGGATAGAACAACTATTATCTAGCACTTTCAGATTCGGTTTCAAGGCATTTGGTGCATTTTAATATTTTTGAGTTCACTCCTCCAGTAAATATACATATATCAGTATAGTTACATATCAGAAGCCTGCAGAGATACTAAAAAATATAATATATTTATTTTTAATTTTTTATAGGTAATAATGGCGATTTAAAATATTTTGTTTTAAAATAAACGGCCCGGGTATATTTAAAAAAATGAGGTCTCTGATTATAGTATTTTTTTTTAAATTATATATAACTTAGTCGATTTTACCTATATCGAAAACTTTACATTAAAGCATAGTTTATAATTTTAACTGTTATAGGGTTAAAATAATATGTATTTAAATTCTTTTGTATTGTGTTTTCCAGACTCCATATTTTTTCATGAACCAATTACTATATATGAGATTAAATTTTAGTTGTCTAAAAATAAAAATCACATTATATATATATCTTTATCTTTCGATACCTCTTATATTGACTTTTTCTATTATCTTACTACTTCCAGCAAGATATGGGATTATACAAAATATGTATTATAAATGATTATATTAATTTCTACAAGCAGATAGCCCATCAATAATATAGGATGAACCAAAAATTTCTCTTTTATTTGAACATCAGGAATTTAATTTTTATAAAATGGCCAAATAAAGTGTATATTTAGTACCTTCAATATGAATAAATAATTTTGAACATATTTGTAAATATACTATTTCTAGGAAATAAATTTCATATCTCAAAAAATTTCACTTTATATACAATAAAAATATCTTTTCAACTACATTTTCATACATTAGTATTTATAATTATTGATAAATTTTTATTTTATCTCGATAAGTGTGATGGTTTTGAGGACAATAATATATCAAAAATAAGGTACGCAAAAACCTCATCAAGCAAGATTAATATTTTTGGATCATAAATTACAAATATAAATGTATAAAAAAAATTTTTCATTGACCATATAAACAATTTTTTGAGATATTATGAAATCGATACATATCTTAGAAATAGTTTATTTACAATTATTTCTTTTCTTATTAAAGATACAAAATATAAACTTCATTAACTTATTTTATCGAAATAATGGAAAATTTCGGCATCATCTCTAATCGAAATAAAAAGAAATTTCTGATTCATCATACCAAACAAAATAGGCTAATTTCTGATGCACCCATCATTAAATATAGGAAAAATTTATGATCCATCCATTATCCTTGACGGGTTTCGGCTAGTATATTTATTAATTTACCAAAACGAAATTTACATTAAAACAAGTTCTCCCTTTGTAGTACCAAACTGCAAATAAAATTTTAAAAAATAGGTTATAAGACATTATAATTTAATATTATCATGTGGCAGGGTTTTTTCTTAGAACGACTTTTTACGATTTAAATAATAAAGTAAGTCTAATACCATATGACTTAAGGAAGATCAGGGCTAGTGGGTACGATTTTTATCAAAATCATCATAGGTCCGAAAATAAATGTTGTATTTGAATTTAAATACCATAAAATAGTCCAAATATCTATCTAACCTTATACATTGATAAATTTTTATATTATTTTATACTTTTTTCTCAAGATTAAAAATAATTTTTTGCGCCAACAATCCCCAAACCCGGGGCTTGTAGATTCAAATATTTTATTAAGTCTCCCATAGGATAATTAATATTATTGTTGTCCATGAAAATACCATTTACATAAAAATAATTCATACAATATGACAAAATATGATTATTTGAATTATAAAAAATGTGTAAAATTTTTAATAATTTTTTATTTTTCCTAATTCTATTGTATTATCATATGGAATTGATTTAAATATATAATAGTAGCCTATAAATACTTATTTAATATTATTATAAAAATATATTATAATATGTCATATTTGTAAGTAAAATTTGAGTGATCCAACTAGCCCTTAGTTACTAAAATAATTAATACCTTTTAAGAATATATGTAAGCATGATATATGATTATAAAACTTTTTATGCGAAAAAAGGGTTTTAAATTTCATATAATGTCAAATTTATTATTCTTAAATTCTTCGTATTTTAATGCCACCTAATATTGTGGTTAGAAACATTTTTACTTAAAAACACATTTTATCATAAAAAAACTGGGGTATTAAATATTTTTCACCTCAAATATACATATTATACAATGCTATTACATAATTAAATTTGAATTTCTAAACATGCCTGGTTTTTAAATAAGATCCGTTGAACCGACAATCCCCTTGCGCCGACTAGCCCTGATTTTCCCTAAACCTATATATCTGAGACCCAGTGCAGTCATTAATTACATTAAATTAGTCGAGACTCTCTAGGACATATATATATATCCAAGTAAAAAATAATTAAATTATAGCATATTTACTTCGTAAAAGTATCATTTTAAACTTGTACATCAATTCAAACCTCAAAGATATCATTCCAATGAAAAATAAGTTTAAAATGATATTTTACGAAATAAAATGTGTAATATATTAAATAACAATAAATTATTATTTTGGCATTTATATGCATGTTATTTATTTTAAAAAATTCAACTATAATACCAGTAAAGTTTGCAATAAATTATTGAGAATTTAAATAATTAAGTTATATATTATATATATTCATTATTAGTATTTGTGGTGTTTTTATATTTTGACGATATTTGAGAAATAGAGTTTGATTAAATTAATAATAATTTAATAAAATCAGAAATAAAGTTTAATTAAAAAATAATATATTATATAAATAAAAACTTCGACGTGATTATTATTATTAATTAAGTGTATTTAAATAAATAAAGTCGAAATTTGTTGTAAAATAATCGAGTTTTATCCATAATATAGATTCAAAATTTAGTGTGAACTCCATATTCTTCTCTAGTTTCCTGAATTTCCTGAGGAGTTATCTAAATTTAAAAAATAAAAAAATAATATTACATCATATTATCTAAAAAACAAATTAATTAAAACACTTTACCTATCTTCTTATGAAAAAAACGGAACCATTCTTTAATAATATACGATATAAATATGCCATTTTCTGGGAAACAACTAATTTATTAGAGTTCGGCGTTACCAGGCCCGAAACCCCCGGACAAATCGGGCCGAAAACCCGATAGAAAATTTACATAGGACGATTTCTAGTATATACAGTTGTGGTACAGATTTGATGGAAAATATTTCCATATTTTGTAATTTATTTTCAAATATAAAATTTTTAAAAATTGTTAAGAATATAAAATATGTTAAAATACAATTTTTAGCAAGTTAAAATAATTTTATTTTCAAATAATCGTTCCATTTGAGCCGATTTTTAAAAATGGCAAACCCAACATTTTGCCAGAAAAATGATGCCTTAGAGTAGAGATTCAGCTAATAGATGTCCAAACCTTTGTGCCATCTATGAATAAAATTTTCAGGTTTTCGAAATATTTTTCTGGATAAAATACTATGTTAGCCATTTTTAAAAATCGTCTCAAATGGATTTTACAACATTATGCATAACACTGTATATCCTTTGTAAACTAAATAATTGTTGATTTTGGAAGAAAAAAAAATTACATAATATTTTCCAAAAATGAACTTACGCTAGGTTTCCCTTGTTCTTTCATCTTGATATAATCGGAGATCGGGGATACGTAATAAAAATGTTGTTCTTTGTCATAATACACAACGTCGTCTAAATAATGTTTTTTTATTATAAATAAAAAAAAAATTATTTACATGATATTTTATACATTAATTGTTTTAAGAAAATATATTCTTTACTAATGGAGTAGTTTTTTTCTTCATAAATCAAAAAAGGTTAAATAATCTAAACATTATTAATTTTAGTATCCGGTCCAAACCAGGTCTTTGATCGAGGTTTAATTGTATTAGTTTAGTAATATCTCTAATTTAAATGTTTGTTTAATCGTAAATTGACTTCCATTGAATAAATGTCAATATTAAATAAGGCTGTGCTGATCCACATATTTTTCACCGATCCGATCCGATATTGGTTCAAAACCAATCCGATAACGATCCAATATTTATACTGATTTTTCACCACCCCCCTCCCCCCCCCCCCTTTGAACCAAATGTAATTAAGAAATCAATATTTTTTATGCAAAAAATCGAATTATGCATTTAATTTAATTTTTTTATTTCTACAATTAAGACTATAATTAAAAAAAAATAATATTATAATAGATAAAAAAAATATCGGGGGTTTTTACAGGTATCGGCCTGACCCGATATTTTCGGAAAATGCTAAATATTGGTGCCTAATATTAAATATAACCGATAACTTCAAAACAAAATACCAGGAAATTAAAAGAATTTAAGATGTAAAAAATCGTAAAATCTATTATATTACTTTAATAAAGTAAATATGGTTTAGATTATAGTGTGTATATATATGACATTTTCGGGTAACTTATATCTTACGTTACAAAATAATTAAACTTATCGGGTAAACAAGAAGATTTCCATAGTAGCGCAAAAATAATTATATGTATATTTTTTTTTTAAAAAAATCTTTTTCGGGCTTCAAAATAAATTTAAAAAAGACTGATTGCCGAGTTTGGGGGTGGACCGATTAGAAAAAAATTAAATAGTTTTAATGCACAATTATTCTTTTTACCAGTGTAAAACCAACCATCAGCACCAAGTACTTTAGCCGTTGCCGCTTCGTCGTTTAGATAACCGATAAAAACTTGAGGACCTTTGAGACACATTTGTCCCTTCCTGTTGGGTCCTAGAAGTTCCTTACTTTCTACGGCTAGTAACTAATATTTTGGGAGGGGCGGGCGTATGTAATAATAAATGTAATTATGCATAAATTTGGATGGGTGGGATCTTTTGCGAATCAGGAATATAAGGGTCACAGACTAGTCAATTTTCTATCTCAGCCAAGCGGTTTATATTGAGAATGCCTAACCCCTCAACCAAATTGATCCTTTACCCTGAATTCACAGTCAAAGCGTACGAATTAGCGCTAAATGTGAATGCAGGGTTGTCATGACTAAAATGACACATTTAGATTAAAACCAACTTTATGATAAAATATTCAATTATTTTTGAACTTTTAACAATTGATTTACTGTCACCCCTTAAACTGTAATATAATTAATGGCGGCATGTAATCATCGAGATCAAAAATTAATTTATGAATTATATATTCCTTTTTTTAAAAATAAATAAATAAATTACTTTGCATAAAGTGTTAGGTAGTACAACGCCAAAGGATCCGACCCTGGACGATTTCGGTGGTGTAACGTGACTTATTGGGCTGAGTTCGGTCATAGAAAAACCTTAAGTCATACAGGTTATAAACCAATCAACAGATTTATCATTTTAAAAAAAATTTAATTTCTTCCTAGTTTATATGTACTATTATGATGTTACTTTAACCATAACATCTTGTGGTTTTACTAAACATAAGATTTTCATTTTTAAAAAAAATAAATTAAATAAATGGGGTACACATAGAAGGTCTACAGAAAATTTTTTGGTCCATGTCAATTTGCGGCCTGATGGCAAATTTTTTAGATCTAGGCTCAGCTGTCAGCCTGCGCCCCAATTTTTTTTTAATAAAAGCGCGTATGGAAAGAAACTTATTCTTATTTTTAATTTGTTATGCATGTTTAAATATTCAGTAATTTACTATGATATATTTAAGTGATGAGTTTATCAATTTTATAAATGTGACATTATAATCAAGGCACAAAAAAAGGGTAAAATAAATAACATTAATATTTTTCGGCAGGGCTGGGTCTATATTTTATTGATATTATAGCCGGCGCCCGGCCATGCAGATACATATAATTCAACCAATAAATAAATAACATAATAAATTCTAAAAGATATTTAAATAAAAAGTGAACTAATATCTTATTATTACTTTGGGAAAAAAAAATGAAAATAGCTTTCAATAAAAAGGTAACGTGTATTTAGTAACAAAGTTACTTTTAAAATAAAGTAACGATCAAATGTAACTTTTAAAAAAAGTATAAAGTCTTGCATTGGTGCTTATTACTAAATCTAATATCTTTAAGGGTCTTGTATTTAGCCCTAATTTCCTCGACTAAATGCGAGGTGGGTAGATCGGTCCCAAAAATAATTTCTTTGACATGCGAAAAGTCGCAATTCGCCATGGAGGAATCCTCGTTTATGAGATTTGCGGTATCCGGCGTCATGTATATGTGGGAAATCTTGAGAAATTTTTTGTAAAAAAATCATTTTATGTAAAATAAGGATATTATGGGTATGATAGCAAAATCGATATGCCCAGAACTTTCAACATTCTATCCTCAAAGTAAAAATAATGGGAAGGTTGGTTAAACTTTTCCTTTCTGTATGGTTTCCAAAAAGAGAGCAGGTTGAAAGTCGGGCAATAGATAAAGTGCGGAGCCTTGGATTAGAGAATAGAGGGTGGATATAACGAACCCATAGGTTGTATGCATTGGTATAGTAGAGAAGATTTGGTCGTTGGAATGAATGTCGTACATCACGCTAAACACCGGAGATAGTAAAATAGACTTTAAAAAACATGATAAAGGTTATATTAAAAAAAATTCCAAAAACGTCAAACACCCGTTAATCACAAAATTATTCGGACAACTTTACCAAAAGAGAATTAAAGGAAAATAAAATCCAGCAAATTTTTTAAAAAAAAAAGATACTGTCGTTAACTTACTAATTTAAAATATAACTTAGCTTTTAATTTTAAATCTTGTCAATGACGCAGTCAAGTGGGTAGGTGCCCACCCCCCACCCACTTTAGGAAATTTGAGATTAAAAATTACAAGCCTATTAAAAATTATAAGTCTGTGAAATATTTATTCCGTGTGACTCAAAAAAAACTCATCATTATAAAGGCGTCAGTCTTATTTTAAAAAAATAAATGAAACTTAGTATATTCAAATTTTTTTTGAGAATTTGATAAAAATTAATTTGACAAAAATAATTCAAGGCTGTTAATTATTATATTTTTTTTGAAAAAAGGGTCTTTATGGGTTTTCATTATGTTTTTTTACGAAATTTATCCCCTAATCATAAATAACATAAAATGTTTAGATAATCAAACAACTTTTATCAACATCACACCCCCCCCCCTCCCCCCGATAAAATATAAAATGATAATTTAAAAATGTTATCAAATATAAGATCTAGTTCACAATAACACGAATTCGCGGGGAGGTATAAGAAATATGATTATAAATATAAAATTTTTACATTTATTTTTGTATACTTGGCTGCGAATTCGCGCCAACTATTAAAAATTATGCGCCGTAAAAAAATTGGGATTCATCAAATTTATTTCCGAATTAACTAGGAAGAAAAAGTGGAATTTGGCGTAGATCAACGAGCTTTAAAGACAGATAAATATAGGATTCATGTTTCAAAAAAAAGGCTCCGAATAAAAAAATATTTAAAAACGTGACGTTCTTTCTGATCCACCCGATTAACAGGACAGCTCTCCAATAAAATATACCCTCCTGCCTCTTAGGAAAATGATTGCTATGATTATATGACATCTTTGACCGGATTATAAATAATCATAATAACGAATTATGATTACATTCGACGGATAACCCATTATTTCAACAAGAGCTACTTAAACAGTAACTAATTTCTATCCGGACTAAAAGGATAAAAGTTAACTAACGAGAAAAATAATATATATATATATATTTAAACCGAATCTGATATAGATTAGCAATGATATTGTAATGCGAGAGCATGACCCCTCGGGCGGTACCGCTGGTTCTGCCACGTGTAAAAAATATTGCGGCGATATCCGTTTTGGGTTCGACGGAAAGCTTGGTACGGGCTATGACAGTTGGATCGGCTTCCGATAGGAATTGAGCGTAAGTTATACAATATTTAGACTCACCAAATAAAACGAATATTTGCTGTGGGCCGTTGAAAATAAAAACATATAAATGATGTGAAGTTAGATAAGTTTCCTCGCTTTTATTTGATCCATAAAATGAAATAAATACTTGTCAGCACCTATGACTAGTAAATAGGGTTAGATTATGATTTGGGTTGTAAGGCCTCATCTATAGTAAATGTGTTATGTTCAAGCGTTATGTTATTTAACGGAGCGTTATTACAAAATTAAGCCAATAAATAGGTATAAATTTATAAACATGAAGCGTTATGATGATAACGCTACGATAAAATAATTTCAAAAACATATGTTGCGATGCGTGATAAAAAAATATGCGATACGATGATAAAATTAATAGTCTCTATGTTAGATTTATCTTCTTAGTTTTTTAAATTGAATCAGCGGAAATAATGCTGTGTTAAATAACGAAAAGCTTAAAGTTAACGCGTTCAGTATAAACGCAGTGTAAGATTCATATATTAAGAAGCTCATATCGATTAAAGTAGATGGACAAGCATTACAGAGGCCTAGTGATTACATAATATAATGAGCGAGAATCGATGTCAATAGGATAAAAAGAGATGGAAAAAAAGTTAACATAAATTTTAGTCCTAAAGGAGGAAAATGGATACATATTTAGAAAGAATTAATCGGATTTTAAAGATGACTTATATCCAGACAAACATAATCATTTTCAGACCCAAGAGCAGTGGTCAGCCTCTAACGTATGTATTTAAATTTTTTTCAAGTGTTCTACTGCCATTTCCGCATAAATTCTATTCACCTGATGTCATCCCAATGATTACGAAATTTTTTTTGATGGAAAATAAAATTGGGTTTGTGCTTAAAAAAATACATTTAAGTTCGTTCACCTCCATAGATTGAAGTGCCATAATGAATCAAAAATACAGTTTTAAATATGCCAAAACACATGTTCATTTACAAATAAATGATAATAATAAATAATAAATTTTTTCCGAAATCAAACATTTACCTCGATTGATTTAACACTTTCAGAGATCGCTTTAATCCGTTCCTCTTGTTTCATTGTAGTAAAAACGAATCTGGGTGCCGACTTTAATAATTGGAATTCGATCTCCTCTAAATAAAATTAAAATGTTGGAAAAAAAGAAATTAATTTTTTTTTAAATAAAAGAAGCATTGGTTAATGTCTTGATTTTTTCATTCATCTTTTTTACGTTTCTTTCTTTCTTTCTTTCTTTCTTTCTTTCTTTCTTTCTTTCTTTCTTTCTTCCCTCCTTCCTTCTTTCCTAAACCAATCTAATTGCATAACCAAACGTATTATAAATCAAATCTAGTTTTAATAATTTCAAAATCATTGCCATGAATAACTTTTGTTTAATTATAAATCCCATTTAATATTTTAAGGAAAAATACTTCCTGGTAAATGTAAAATCTGATATGCATTTTTTATTAAATTTAATCGCGCTTAAATTAATTCATATATTAAAGAAACAAAACTGATTATTCGTAAAACTAACATGTTAAAACCAAATAGCGAATAAAACTCTGTCAAAAAATCAGGCCCGAGTTCAGATAAAACCAGTTGATCTGCAATAGTCGATAAATCGTCGGTCTAGATTTGGAGTGCTCCACTAGACACTTTCAAAATTTTTGAGTTAGAAGTGGATAATAACTTATTTTTTTTTAATATATATAAAAATAAAAACTAGATTAAAAAATATTAATTTTTGCCAATTTTGCGCTATTTGCATATAACGATGTAATTTTTGCTTCATATGCATGGCCCATCCTATTATCCTATTTAATTAAGTGTTGTATTTTCCTCCTTTTTTAATTTTTTGCTTTTCCATATTGAATCGTAAAATATTTTGATTCCATATCTATCCTAAATTATTTTAATGTCAAGGTAAATTTTTTATTAATAATTGTTCTTAAAATTTATTATAATTCATTATTTTGATCATATACCATATCTAATCTACCTTTAGTCTTTATAAAATGTTAACATTTCAGGCTTGCTTGAATTATTTTTATCAACATTTTTATAAAGAAATTTTAAAAAATTGCATAACTGCTTATATCTTAAAAGCTACTTAACCAAAATATATGAAATTTGGAATATAGATTTTAAGATATATTTTTTGATGAAGTTACTGAAAATTTCAGATCTTAATAATAAACCATTTTTATGTAATATCAATTCTAGCAAGCCTGGGGTTTCATACACCCCACGAAGGGTAAAGCATTACTTGCCCATTAAATATAAAGATTTATTTTTATTATACCTTCAACTTCGAGAAGCAAAGCAAATGGAAGAAAATAATATGGGAATGTGGTGAGACCTATTCAATATTAAAGATGATTTGAAAAGAGAAAGGATGGTTCAGAATGATCATTCTAATAAATGTACATTTCAATGTCATTAAAAAGTTAATGCAGATCAGAGTAAAATTATTAATGAGGCTTTTTGGAACTTAGCTATTGAAGCTAAAGGATCTTTCTATAAGAGATTTATTGTTAGGACTCCATGTAAGAAAAGGGTAAAAGATTCTTTAAATTATAAAAACTATTTATACTTATATTTTTTTAAAGTGGAGAATGTTAAAGTTAGTTGCAGATAATTTTTTTTACAAACACTTGACATAAGTAATAAACATAGTTATTTCTTTAAAAATTTATATCAAAATAATGGAAACAAGCAAAAAGATTCTTCAAGGGAGTACTTTGAGGGACTCAATTATATATGAATTATATTCTAAAAAATGTGATGAATTATCATGAATTCCTATTAAAGATCATTATTACATGATGAAATTAGAAAAAAATTAAGATATAAAGTTAATTTCTATGATTTGAACTTATTATTTTGAATATATTTATTAAATTCTAATAAAAAAAATGTAAATGGAGCATTTTGAACATCAAAAAAAATCATAAAGTGTTATATTTGCTTCATTTGCATTTTGATTTTATCAATAAATTTTATATATAAATTTTTTGAGCTAAAATTTTTTGCAATAATTAATTAATGTGATAAATTATCTCTGAAATTTTTAATTAAATTGATCAATGAGTTTTTCCTGTATATAATTTTAAACTTTAATGTTGATTTTCTTATTTTAAGCATTCGCAAATGGAGCACTCTAATTCTAGACCGACGAAATATAAACCGAATTGATAAATAGTGAAAATAAGTAAGTTGTTACCATCATTGGATTCCAAATTGATAAATATGACGGTTCCGCCACCCCCGATAACGCCAATAAAAATGCACACGGATTCGCAACAATTAGGGAGTAAAAGCGCGACCCCGTCCCCTTGCTTTATCTCGTAGGTCAAAATGGACGAGCAAACGTTCCTTGATAGGGTCAAGAGGTTTGGATACGTAAATGTTTTGGATTGAGCTATGTCGATCTTTTTTAAGAGACGAGTACGAGTTGAGCGCATATAAAAACTGATATTAAGTAAATTAGTTGACTCCTACTTCAGCGATAATCAAAGTAATCGGTCTCACCGCAAAGCTCAAAAAACTGCTTCTTAAGTACTTCCTTTTGTATTAGGACGATGTCTAACTATTTTGTTAACTCTCTTATACATATTTTAAAATAACAGTTTTTAAAAGGTTCGATTTTAACAAATTTTTTTTAAATAAAAGAATTTATTTTGAATTTCGGGGAATAAGATTCAAACAAAATTATTCAATTTTATCACTCATCAAAACATTTTTTTCTCCCCATATCTCTTATATCCATATTTCATCCGGAGGTAAAAAAAAAATTAATTTTAAAAAATAACTCAGATCAAAATAAAATGCCCGTTTTCTTTGTTAATTAGAGAAATCTCAGTAACCCAAGCCAATACGCGTATTTAAATTGATAATCGCTCAAACTCAAGGAATGTTCAATTGAAAGAATTTTTTTTAATTTGATGAAATATATTTTAAATAGGATTATTTAAAGGTTTGAGATATATATATATGGGTTATAGGGTTTTAATAAAACTTATTCCCTTTTATTAATAACCCTGACATGTCATGACATGACTATGATTAGACGAATAGAAATTTAAATAAATCAGCTGTTGTAACAGCGACTTCCTAAAGTTGGACCATAATCAAATTAAATTGTATTATATATTTTTAAAAAAAGGTGTGCTACATGTTTATCAATTTTCTCGACTCATAAAAAAAGAAGCTAAAAATTTGAAAAAGAAAATTATCCCACATTTAACATAGTAGCAAATTTATTTTTTTGCCAATTTTAAAATATAATTTGTTCTCATAAAAATAAATTTAATTTTTTCTTTTTAAATCAAATTTGGTAAATTTAAAAACATAACCGCAGGTTATTTTGTTTCTAAAAAGGTAGTTGGTAATATGAAAAAAAATAGATAATTTAAATTAATATTTTTTGTAAAATACTAGATAATAATTAAACGCAAAAATCATTTTTTTATAACCACAACAAGGGGGAAAGAAAGAAAAATAAAGGAAGGGAAAGAAAGAAAAATAAAGGAAAAGAAAGAAAGGGAAGAAAGGAAGGAAAGGGGGAAAAAAGGGTTGAAATAATGGGAAAAGGTATCAAATAAAATGTTCTCTCAATATTTTGTGTTTGTCGTGTAAGAACGTTTAGCCATAATTAATTTAACCACCGCCGGAGTATATTGATGTGAGCGGAACTCAAATTAAAAATATTTAAATAATATTATATAGTTCTATAACTACATTTTTGCTCGAATATGAGCTGTATAGTAAAATATTATCCATAGGGATCCCCTCTAACTAATTATATTAATGCTAACCTAGACTGATGATTCCTTCATTAATTAAAACACATTAAAGTGTACACGCATTGACGTTCACCATTGAAAGGCATTTAAGACGAAATGCGTTTAAATGGGGTCTATTAGGGCCAAATGGCCCTGAACACAGATGATTTCACTGTAAGAGTGCGTCTTTGATAAATAAATCGTGAGTCTGGAAAGTTTTCGAAAGATCTAATTTAAAAAAAAATATGAATAAGTGTTCAGATCAATACTAACCACAGCTTCCTTGTCGCCTATTTTCTTGAATTCGTTGATCAAGAAATTGGAGAGGGTGGTATTCGATGGGATGACTAGGTCGGAATACTTGCTCTCCAATATGAGTTCGCTTTCCTCCAGATGGTTCATGTCTAGCGAGAAATTGGTTTGGCCCGGCGAAGTCAATTGAAGTTTGGGTATCGCGTTTAGATGGTCGCTCGTGACGCCATTGAATTCGGTCGATAAGGATATGTTATTGTTATCGTTGTTTATATTATGAATTCCCTTTTGTTGCCTTTTGTCGCGAACTTAAAATATGGTGATACGTACGATTACAAATATATTTTTTTAAATAACTAAAAGTTGTACAGATTTGATACATTTTTTAGAGAATGGATCTACCGATAGATATCCATAAAATAAAAAAAAATGTTAAAGGCATAATCAAAGATTCGTTGCTCATCATTTTATATGAACTTTCCAATTTTTTTAAAAAATATTGAATTTGGTATTTAAGGTGATGAAGTCTCTAAAATAAGCTTAAAATGTGTAAATATTCTTATTTTTAGTCTAAGATTCTAATCAGACAGCCATTTCCAATTGAAAAGATAAAAAGATGAGTGTATAAAAATTCTGAAGAGTTATAGTTTTTCAAGTACGAGAAACTACAACATTATAATAGCGGTGAAACATTGTAATGAAATGTAATTAAAAGTAAGTACAGTGATAAAATGTTTTAAAAGTCGATCCAATTTTGCCGACATTATGTTTATATCTAGCGGTAACAGATATCAGCGGATCTATTATAGGAGTACCGAGAAATTAAACCAAAAATATACTAATGTGCAATTTCAGAAAATTTTTTCCTATGATTCAATATTCCAATTAACGATATCATCTCAAAACCGATATTTTTAATAAATATGGGTGATCGTGCAGATCCTTTATAAGCGAAATGTTAAAAGAAAGATCCAAAATTTAATTTTGAGGTTTGGAAAGTTGATTAAAAGTTATGGAGATAGAAACAAAGAAAATAAATTAAACCAATCCCGTAAAAATAAAGAAATCCGAACCGAACCGTTAAACTGGTATTAACCGTTATTACTTACCGAACCTAAAGAGTTAAAAAAAATTGTCATCCAAACCTCTAAAAATTCCTGGGAAAGGGCCTAAAACTTTTGATATTTTAACTCTTTAAAGATGAATAATAATGTGTTTTGACTGATAAAGTAACAATAATCATTCCTAAATAATTTTATATTCCTATTTCAGCCCAAAAATTTATTCTAGTTGAATAATAATTATTATTATAAGCCAATTTTTAGCTGGTTAAAAAATCGACTAAACCTAGTTATTAGCCGAAAACATCCCTGTGGCCTCGGAGTTTTTCTTAAAAATATAGTAGCTCAAACTTGAAAGAAACTAATGTAAATTAAAACGCCTCGATATTAACTGATTTTCTCCGGCACGAGCCTGTAGATTGAGAGGAATTAGCCGGCATTAAGCCGTTATAACTCCTTATAGATAAAATTTGGCAGAAGTCTTATTATCATTATAGAAAACAGTGACAAAAATTTTATTTTCTTTACATAGTTCTAATTATATGCGCTTGTATGCGAAAAGATTTGAACCAGTTATTTTTTCCCCAACCGAACCTAAACCCTTATAATAATCTGAACCTAAACCTGACCCAATATTCGTTACGATGTGGTTCCCTGGTAGGAATGAATTAATTTTTTTTTGTCGGTTGATTAGCCGTTTATTTAAATAGGATGATCTGATCTAATATATTAGAATGGAAACAATTTGGTAAAATTAACTCGTTTTATTTTGTATCGGCATGTAAAAAGCAGTAATCAGTCTTCATTCAATCCCCCCTTTTCTAATATTTAAGTAAATGCATTTAAAAAGAAATCAGCTAACCAGTCTGAATTTGCATTTATAAGGTAAGCAAAATAAGATTAATATAATTTTTATAAAAAAAAATCCAATTTAATTATGATATAGATAGGATAAAGAATAACATGGGCGTGTTTTAAGCCTGCCCGACCATTCTACAGGCGGGATTTCTAAAAGTTTAAACATAGAGTGGGTGGGCAAGTTAAGCATAATTTTAGATAAATGGGCGTATAGGTGGATTAAAAGAAAACAAAGTTTAGGTGGTTGAGTGGGTAAAAAAATTTTAAAAAATGGGTGGGTTAGTGTTTGGGTAAAAACCTGATCATTGTAACACTAATATAGGGTGCAAGATGGTCACATGACTCTAGAACTAGTTTTTACAAGATGTAACATTTTCTAGGAATTATGTGAGACTCTTATGGATAATCCTTCAGCAATATGTGATTTTATTTTCTTATTAGATGAATAAAAGATTTAAAATAGAGTCCCATGATTATAATGGTGGAAATAAATTGTAAATATGTTCAAAAAAAGATACGACAAGATTTACTAGATAAATAAATTGTTTTAAATTACTATAACTGGACACTTTAAATAAAAAAATACAATAGGTGTAAAGCAAACATGAGTTATGAATATAATTTTTCTTATTGAATTTTTTATCCAAATATGCACAGTATTTGATCCGGAATTTAAATGGATTCAGCCAGTGGAATGATAATAAACATAAAATTATAAATTAGGTGCATCTTTAAATTTATCAAATTAATACTAAAGTGAGGATTATAATAAATTGAAATAAAATCTCATTTATACAAAAATAAATAAATTGTTGGTAATTGAATTTTATTCAAATAAGTTGAGATTATATTATTTTTTAATTTATAACATGATATATCTATTGATATTTAAACTTTATTCAATTTTTAATTAAATCCTTTAATGTATAAGAAAACAAAGTATATAAGATAATGAATAATTAATAAATTTTTGAGATTTTATTAGAAAAGGCTAGACAAATTTTTTATTAGAATTTAGCTACATTAAAAAATAAAGTATAAAGGTAATAAAATATGAAACTTAACTAAATTATCGGGATGATATATAAATAAATTATGTATGCTAATTGTAACTTTTTTTTAAACCTATTTTGAAAAATATGCATATATTAGAAAATATTAATTAAAAAGTTACCTTTAAATGTAAGTTGCTTAGTAATTTTTAGATTTTTGTATCCCAAAAATCCATTTTGAGTGGTTGTAAAACAAGAATGGCATTTACCCATTTTAAATTTAATGTATAAAAATAAAAAATTTAAAAACTAAAACAACATTTCAACCATATCTACCTTAAGATGTGTAAAAAAAAATTATGTGATAATAAAAATATAAACAATTAATTTTGTTTATTTTTTTGACTAAATTTTGTAAGAGGACAAATAAAGAATTTTATTCATAAAATATTACGTAAAATAATAGAAACATTTTTATTTGTATATATTAAAAATAATAATTTTATTAAATATAAATATTATAATTACCAGTTTGTTAGAAATCATATGAATATGGATAGATTATCAAATATTCAAATAATTAGGGATTGGATTTAGATTAGTAATTGTCTATTTTTTGCCAAAGTATATTTTTTTTAACCCGTAGCGTAGATAATGATCCCATAAGTTGAAGAAATTATACATTCTTTTATAATTATGGTGGCATTGAAAGGTCTAAAAATAGCTTTATAGTAATTAAAATTATAGCCATATTAAATAAATATTTGTTTGTTTCTAAGACTGCTAAAAATTATATTTCATTTTTTTAAAATAATGTTAGCCTACCAAATCGATAAACATTTGTTGATATAAAATTCTGAATTTTTAGCGAGATATTCATTTTTTTTTACAGATAAATTAATTCCATTTTTCCTTGGTGCATAAATTATGGATGTCGCTAGTAAAAAAGATAAATTGGAAAGACTGAGATTACTTCACCAAAAAAGAGTATAATTATATTATGTTAATACGATTAATATATATACCATATTTGTATTTACTACTAGGAAGAGGCGCAAAGGCAAAATTATAAAGAAGTTGTTGAGGAAGATAGAAAAAGTAAATTACCATCGAATTGGGAAGTTCAGAAACGTAAAATTGAATGGGAAGTTGATGAAGAAAAAAAGAAAAAGGTAATATTAATCCTTGATATAATTTTTAAGAAAATACAAAGGAAGCAATCAAAGATGGGCAAGATTATGATAGACTGAAAGCTTTAAATATACCTGCTGAAATTGCTGATCAAAATTATAGAAAAAGGAACAAAAAACGTAATCCAGATCCAGGATTTTCAAGTTTATTTATAAAAAATTATATTTATAAATTTCTAATCAAAAAAAATCCAAACAACCTTTATGAATTATTAAGTATTTTTTTATTATCCAAAAGTTAATATAAAATATTAGCAATGTTTAAGCTGAATACAGTATTGTTAAATGGCTCAATTTTGCTGATTTAAAAAAAATGATATTATACTTAGAAGATATTATTACTTATAGCTTGAAAATTGTCAATATCTTTAGATAAATCTTCATTTTTGGGTAATTTACATTTGACTAAAATCTTTTAGTCATTTTTAAAAATTGATTAAATTGAGCCATTTGACCAAACTAGCAAAATATGACTGAAAATATTTTAAAATCATTTTCTTGTAGCAGATAATATAACAATATATGAATTTTTTTTGAGCATACAAAATATATATTATTTAAAAACAATGAAAATATTGGATGGAGTGGTTTTTGAAAATATGGTTCTGATCCAATCCAATATTAATATTATCACAGTCTTAATTTTAATAATATAGCTAAAAAATAAAGTATAAATTTAATGTATCATCAACTACAATAATATTTACTATGGGCATTTGATATATAATAGGTTTTGAAGAGGCTGCTATACGAAAATACCAGCGACTGTCAAAACAGATTAAACCTGATAAAGAAAGATATGAAAGAATGAAGAAAAAAATGTAAAGATTATAATACTTTTTGAACAATTTAAAGCATAAAATATTGATGTACAATTTTTATCATGAACTTTTGGTAATTATTTATAAATTTATATATATATATACCATTGTTAAAATAAGTATAAATATAGCAATATAAGTATAAATATAGCAATATAAGTATAAATTATTTTACTTTCTTTAATCTATGTTTTGAATGTTAAAATAATGATAGGGGCCAAGAATTTTACCCAACATCAAATACTTTGCTAACCCATTTGGAAGAGGATCCACAACATAACATCGATAAAATGGCTGAGGATATTAAAAATCAGTATTGATATATTTTTTCTTAGATTTTCAGAGAAATGTTTGGGTTCATAATATTTTTTAAAAAATTACCTTTTTGATTTAAAATTTTCTCTGGATCATCATTTTAAAAAAAAAAATTTTTAAATCTTTTTCTTTCTGTTTTTTTTTTGCTTTAATCTTTATTTTTAAAAATTAAAACAGAATCGAAAAAGGAGAGAACTATAGTAGGAGGAGAACGTTTAACCCTGATGCAGATATTGACTATATCAATGAGCGCAACATGAAATTCAATAAGAAATTGGACCACTTTTATAGTAAATACACGGAGGAAATCAAACAAAACTTGGAGAGGGGCACTGCACTTTAAATTAAAAAATATTGATTTAAAAAATATGTATATATTTGAAGAAGAAACAAACTCATAACTGATTATATATATATGAAGATATTATTTATTATTTTAAAATAAAGTATAGTAAATAGGAGATGTTTAATTATCACAGGTGGTCAGAAATTTAATAGACGACCTGCTTTTTAAATAAATAAAATATGATACTTAACTTTTTTTCTACCTTTATATATTTTCTCATCTGCTTGTCATAAAATAAATTATTTTTACTGATACAGGAGTATCAAATTATGATAAGAGTTCTAAGAATCGGGAGGGGGGGGGGGTACATAATTATAATGAAGTTATCTACCACGAGGACTAATTTATCAAGCCTGCCTCAGACCTATATTTTCCAAAAATAATTCGCCTAGCCCTATGTTAAACAATCTTTTTTATTTTGTTCCAAAACAACCTAACCGAAAAATATTATTTATCAACCCTAACCCCAATTTATTTAAATGTTTTATTTCAGTTCAACTACCAAAATTATTATGATCTTTCATTAGGCTTGGATGAATTTTTCAAAATTATTATGGCTTTGTTCTTTAGCTGGGAATTTTTTTAATAGTTATAAATGATCAGTAAATTTAACATATTGGTATTATCAAGTAAAAGCTTTAAATTTATTCTTACTCAAACCATAGTATTTAGTCTTAGTTATAATGAATTTCATATAAATACCAGGAGCTAACCAGTAGAATGATAGGTAAATCAGATATTTACCTTTCATGATGATTTTGAAAAATTTTCCATATAAAATGGCAAAAAAATATGAACATATTAGACAGATTTAATTTTTATAAACCCCTTACATCAGACCTATTTTTCTGGATCCAAAGAAAAAATAAATTATTTTGAGTTTTCCTGGACTTGGGATATATTGTTCACCATTATTATGGACTTGGACATAGCTTGAGAAACATTTTTCATAATTATTATAGTCTTAGATTCCTGTAAATTTTTTAATTTTAAATATGGGCTAGTAGACATATAGTTGCCTCTATTATATAAAATTAGTACAAAATACTAGGTAAAAATAGACATATTTGACAGTTAGAGAATATATTACAGTTAATATTTTACTAATCAATGCTCTTGATAATAGATATAGCAACAATTTGCATTCAATTGTTTAATGCCATCTATTTATTTCAAGATATTAATATTAATCTTCATATTATTCATCCCACAATGTCTTTAAAAGATATTTTCTGATGTCCTTATCAATGTTTTATAGTTTTCTGTAAAATATATAATTCGCTATATTGGTAAAAATTATTTGATTGTCATATGATAATTTATAAAATAGATATACTGTAAATCTACAACATATAATATTCCACTGTTTGTATTGTGCTTTTATTTTTATATTTCATTTATGATTTATTTTTATCAATAGTTTTATAATTATATTTTACTTTTATTAAGATGAATAAATTAAAATTACTCACTTTATAAAAAATTATATTTGATATACTATATTATTTAGTAATTTTATGGATCTATTATTAATAATTATAATTCATTTCACTTTTGTCTTAAGACTTATCTTTGGCTTATATTCCATTTCTTAAAAAACATTTTTGGTTAACTTTTTTTATATATAAATACTTTTTTCCAAAAATGTATAAATTATGATGAATAGTTTTATAAAAAAAATATCAACTTTTATATTCTTTCTTTCAAATTATGGTTTAAGATATATGCATACATTTTTGGGGGTCAGGGAGTGGGAGAGGAGTAAGGGGGATAAATTTTATTAGCTTAAAATGATATTCACAAAAAGTGATAAATTTCTGAAGGGGGAGTGGGAATTTCCCTATGAGTGATAAGGCTGATCATTGACAAACTAATAGAACTCTTTTAGAAAAGACAAGATAGTAATTCATTTTAAACTAAATGAATTTGTATATTATCAGAATTTAGTTTTGCGACGGAAATAGGTTATGAAACACCGATAAAAAAATGGAGGAAAAAAGTTAATTGTTTATTTAATCTGGTACTAAAAACTCAAAGGAATTTATTGCCCAGTAAGAAATTATTAAAAATTTTAGGTCAATACTAAATCTTTTATTTATTTATTCTTAAAAATCTAAATCATTAAAGATTTTGAACTAAGAAAGAATAGATATCTAGAAGAAACGGGTGCCACTTTCGTAGTGAGGCAAATGTGAAAAAACAAAAATTGTGCATATGGAGGAGTCGTTGAGTAAGAACCTGGTGAAGTACATGGTTAATTTTTTCAATATTTTCGATCAATCTGGAGTAGAGATATAAATGCTATAGCGGTTGGAGAAATTTCCTAAAAAATAAAAGGAATAAACACCTAAAAATTATCGTAGCAAATCCTAACTCATAAAATGGCAAGCCCAAATTTTGAATAAATATTTCCAAAAATGCACTATATTTATATTGTGTTTTTTTTCTTCTGATAAACATTATTTTTAAAAATCTATTTATTAACACTAAAAACTATTAAAGCAAAAAAATTTAATTTCTGACATTGTAAACCCGCGAGAAATCTAACATGACTTAAGTAATATAAATTAATTCACTTTTCCTAAATATTGTGTTTGTAACTCTTCATACACAGGTTAAGTTAATCATTATAAACCTAATTAATTATGCTAATATACAGAGGCGAGCAATGTCTCTAACGAATGTAATATATTACTACTATGTGGCTTTCTAAAAACTGTTTTAGATGCATTCCTCTACAAATTAATATTCGTTTCAAATTATTTTTTAATTTTTAATCTCGATACTTTATTACCATAAATATAATGTCATATAAAACTGTTGGATCAGGGTATGGAAATGCATATTTTCTTAAAATCTCGTGCATTTTTCGGTCTACCTGAGTAAAGAAGAGAAAATTTACCCATTGCAATATGAGGTGATCTTGACAAGAACAGTGACTTTATTATAAACTTTTTGACATCCATTGTTATAACTAGTCTCAAAGTATAACAAGGACACCTATAATGGCAAAACGATCTGATAATCTTAAAAAAGGATATATATTTATAATTACCCTTTTGTTTTTATGAAACTTATGTTTATAAAAAATTAGTTTTACCGATGTATTAAATATAATATCTCATTCCACATTATATTCTTCATGATTCTATTCCTGATTAACATGTTTCACTAAAATCTCTAAACATCTTTGCTAAGTTTGTAGCATTATCGGTAACCGTACAACCTACTTTAAAATTGATATATTCAAATATCTCCAGAATTTTAGATATCTTTTATTAAATATATATTTTCCTGCACTTTTTTAAATGAAATAACAGTTTACTTAATTAACTACATAGGAAATTTTGCCATAACACAATAAATATTTTTTTAATTTTTTACTCTCTTAGTAAAACTTTAAAGAAGGTTCAGACTATTCACTTCGACAAGTTATATTTATTAAGTTAAAATTAAATTGGTATTTCATTGTCTCACATTTTGTATATCTCTAGAACGTTAAATGCATAAATTTTAGAGAAAGAAAGAAAGAAAGCAAGAAATCCAAATCACTCTCTTTATTAATTGTTAATTTATAAACTTAAATTTAACTGGTACTATATAACTTCGTTACTTTTAAAATAAATTTTGTAACGGCGTAAGTAACGCGTTTAGGTTACTCGTTACTTTATATTTTATTATTATATTTTAATCTATTGTTTTATATTTAAGTCTAATATTTATATATAAAAATATTATATGAATAAAAAAAACAAATATAAATTTGGATGTTGATTGTAAAAGGTATGTAACGTAATTGGATGGAGAAAAAATATTGCCATGATGGAAAATGGATTCGAAGCCTGGGTTTAGGTTGAATAACATGTGCATAATGGCGGTTTGAAATCACGTGAGAAAATAGGAATTTATTGCCGGAAATACTCATGTTATATGTAATTTAGGTAACCCAAACTGCTAAACAATATATGTAAACCTTTAAATAATTATAGAATATTATTATTATTTCATTTTTTTAGGCTTATAGGTTATATGTAATGTATTATTATGAAATATAAAGCAAAATGAATATTTAAATAAATTTTTTAGAAAGTGAAATTAAAATTTTTTTTAAAATAATTTTATAATAATTTCAAACTAATAAAAATAGGTTGTAATTAGTTGTATGACCTAGGCTCCAGGTTTTTTAAAGTTTTCATTTGTTTTTTTATCTGGCGAATTTAATATTTTAATTTATTTTTCTTCCCTTTGTTGACTGATCTTTTATATATTTTATTCATTTATTTTCACTAAAAAGAAAAATTATTTAACAAAGGCCATTTTGAAATATATCTATAGAAAACCTACTATAAAATATAATATATGTTTAATGTCTAACAAAAAAAATGTTTTACCCTTCAACATATTTAAATTTGTGGGGTTCCCGTATCCATAAAAGGAAACATAAATTAAATTATTCTCCAGGTAAAAAAAATAATATTTCCTTTTCTTTCCTAATTTAATGAAAATGGACTAGCCACGAAATTTGGGAAAAATATTAGGAATCTTGATGAACTGGATTGTTATGCTACGTCCAACCAAGTCTTTTCTCTTTCTAGAATTCTACTAAAAAAAAATAAAATAATAATACATCTCATCTTTTTGGCAAATTATTTATTATCACCTTACATCAAAATCGATAGTATAAAAAATAACTAAAATAAGAGTGTCCTCGTTGTTTTTAGGATGTTCTACGCAGAATTAATAACGCAAATTTTGATAAGTCAGGGTTCAATCTTGTATTTAATCCACATAAAAAACTAGAGTATATTTTTAATAACGAAACAGGGATAAAAATATCATATTATTTAACAAATTTACGTCACTATTTAAATTCGTATATTATATGATATGACAAAATAAAATAAGATTATATGGCATATAAAAAAGAGTATAAATAAGCATGATAAAGCTTTTAATAAATTATATTATATCTCAAATCCTTTACCTTTTCCACGTGACAAAAACAGTTCACATTAATGCTAACCCCAGAATTTTACGTGTTCCCTTGTACAAGTCATATTCAATCATGTCTAATATGTATAATTTGCCATCCTTGTTACTCAATTGTTTCATGTC